AGACGTTCACAAGACCGCATTCAGGACTCACGAAGGGCACTACGAATTTCTCGTAATGCCATTTGGGCTCACCAACGCTCCCTCGACCTTTCAAAGCTGCATGAACAGGTTATTCTCGGAATTTTTACGCAAATTCGTCATCGTATTCTTTGACGATATCCTTGTGTATAGCCGAGATATTTTGCAACATTGTGACCATTTGGAGGTTATTTTAAATCTGTTGTGCACTAACCACTTTTATGTGAAGAGGAGTAAATGTCAGTTTGGAGTCCCAACAATTGAATACTTAGGGCATCTAATCGAGAATGGGCAATTGTTGATGGACCAATCCAAGATTGAGGCCATGAAGGCCTGGCCGCAACCCAAAACCAGCAAACAACTGCGAGAAGAGTTATTACTTCTAGTGTACTAAAAAGCACTTTATATGTAATTTATATTTATTGACTCATCACGTCCCAATGTCCTTCACTGGCCGTTGATCACAAAATGCCAATGTCAGTGTCCCGCCACCACTCTGTTAATGTGCATTATGCATGATTTAATGACTTAAATGGTTTCATTCTATAATTTCCAATATAGTTTTTAATGTTTACATGTCTATTGTCAAGACATTGTCGGTTGAAAAAAGACATTCTTGCAATTATGAATATCCACTGCATTTGCGATCAATGTCCTTGATTAGTAAACAATATTCATAATTTTTATAATGTCCTATGCACATGTGTTTATTGAGACTTACAACACGTCCTTTGAAGCATATGAAAGTGTGTTCATTGAGAAATCCAGAAGTTGATCTTTAATGTTTTAGAACTAGACTTACAACACGTACCTTGAAGAAGATTTTGAAGAAGGTGTACAACGCCAAGCTAAGGAGTCGATGCAAATAGACTTTGTCGCCAAATCACGTGTAAGAAAATCATGTCAATTCATACATAAAATCTATTAAAGTTGAAGGTGTAACTTTTACAGTTTTTTAGTTGAAAGACTTTTACAAGAACGTGAGCTTGCAGATGTAGGAGATATTGCTCTGAAGTGCGTAAATATTTTTTTTGTATCGTTTTATCACTTTTGTATTTCTGTTTTCCACTAACGACATAAAATGTGTTACAGCACTCTAAAAGTCACATATACAGTTACTTGTGCTTTAGGATCTTTGTATCACACCTTTCTCTTTTGAGTTGTTTGCTTTGTGTGATCTATATATTTGTTTGGTTATCAATCTACCCTCTTCAAAGTTTTACTCTCTAATTTGATACGAAGTATATTTTTTTAAATAGTAGGAATAGAATTACGATAGGTCATAGGTGTAAAAGTTTACTTCTTTGATTATTTGCTCTAGCTTCCTATATAAAGGGGTATGACCTTTGTATTCAAATATAATCATTGAAATGACTTGAAAATGTAATTGTGCTCAAGTGGCTCAATCAATTTTAATTATTGTGATTATTATGTGTAAGTTTTAAAAGAGAATTCTTTTAAACTTTGAAAGTCACGTTCAACTATATGTATGTAGTTGCTAGAGACATGTACGTTTGAATATATATTGTGTTTGATAAGTTGTTCAATATAATATATAGGCAAAGATATTATTTGTCGTCTGATAAATGATAAATCGACCTGCACCCTTTCACACTAATTAATTAATTAATAGGCAAAGATATGATTTACGTCGCTGGCAAAAATGCGCTGATCGAAAGACACACACACACATATTGATTGAGATGCACCCAATTTCTTTATGAAATCCTTCAAATTCATTTAATTTGGTCTTTATCCATATAGTCACGTTGAATATTACAAATAGCCGAATTGGTTTTTTTCACTTGTTTTCTATTGGTTTTATGGACTTGATAAATAGATGTTGGAATGAAATAAAGAAACCAATTTTGCATTACATTGTACGTGTCTGATTCACTTAGAATAATGCTCATGCATAAAATATTGTCTTGTTCGAAATTCACCAACAAATTGTCGAGTTCCTCCTCTTAACCAATTCAATGAAAATATATATATGTGCACGCACGACGTTGGTGAGATTTTAAATAAGCCAAACGCCATGAAGAATTAGTTGTTGCGGACAGCACCCACTGGAGACAAAAAGATATTAATTCATCTTATGTTAGCAATCAATTATATTCAGACAATGCAACAACAAATCTGATTCGTTTTATTTTTGTCATCACAAATTAGCTAGAAATTAATGATGCGTGTATACATATATATAGAGCAGCCTAGCATACATGGTTTATACTGTAATAAATAATGCACGTTTCCATTCGAGATAAATTGCAACTCAAATCAAAAGATTGACAAATGAAAGCCACAAAAAACAAACGAGTTTAACACTACTACAATTGCACGTTTGGTAGGTCCTTTAATCTTTTGACTTGCCAACTAACTATTATCACTCCCTCCCTTTTCTATATATATTTATAGAGTAATTTACCTAAATAGCACTAAAACATAATAACTTTCCCTAAATAGCACTACATATGTTTTTTTTCTCAATGTAGCACTTTTAGTCATTATATATTAGTCATTATTCAAGTAAATGTTTATCATCACTGGTCATTATGGACATTATAAAGTGGTATTTAGGGAAGAAAACAATCTAATTGCTATTTAGAGAAATGACTTAAGTTTTAGTGCTACTTAATGCAAATATTTCATATTTATATATATATCTTTTTTCTTGAGTTAAATATTTAAAACTATTCTACATGCACTTGTTATACGTATATAAATAAATATACACAAGTCTGTGAGCAATATAATGGATAACTTTCGTGCATGGTTTACATCATATGAACAAAATGATGAAGAAGATTATTGTCCCCTTTTCTCACCTCTTCCTCCTCCTTCTCCTCCCACCGGTGCACCACCACAAGGAGTAGGATGTACAATAACCAACCACCACAAGTTCGACGACGAAGACGACGCTCCCTATGTTGCCATCCAACAACCTGACGCAACGCTATTCTTCAGACGACAACAACAACAACAACATGTTCTGATGCCGGACAACACCACCACCAGCGGCAAGATCAAGGGAAAGAACACGCGGCGCTACAAATCCTCGACGGTGCAAGGGGAGAGCAGCACGAGTGAAGAGAAGCAGAGGAGGATGATGCATAGAGACATTGAAAGACAAAGGCGGCAAGAAATGGCTAGCCTCTATGCCTCCCTCCGCAACCAACTCCCTCTTGAATACATCAAGGTTAACTTTATTTTCTCTCCAATAACATATCTAAGCTTTTGGTTAAACTGATTCCATAACATGTCGCGCATTAGGGAAAGCGTTCAGTGTCAGATCACGTGATGGAGGCAGTGAGGTACATTGAACACAAGCAGAAGAGCATACGCGAGCTAGAAGAGAAGAGGGACATGTTAAGGAGTTGGAGTAAAAACGACGATGAGGGAGATTGTCACGTGGCGGCGGCAGGCGCTTCACAGGCGGCCGCCACGGTCACAGTCCGGCCGTGTTTGGAGGGGGTTGAGATACTGATCAGTTGTGGGATTCCCAAACTAGGGTTTAGGGTTTCAAGGGCTCTTCATCTGCTTGGGGATCAACAAGGCCTTCAACTCCTCAGCTGTGTTTGCTCCAGAGTTGATGATACACTACTCCACACCATAAGAGCTCAGGTCTCTCCTTTAAATTTTTTAAAAGTCAAAACGGAAACATCTTTATGGTACGGTGGAAGTATAATTTTGAAATTTTTTTACTAGCTTATTATTTTTCTCTTTGCGTTACATGCATTACTTTCAACCATACAATTATATTTTTCTTAAATTTTGTTTCAAACTAAAACAAAATTAGGAGTCTTTTTTGGAAGTGTGAGAGTATAATTAATATAATGATCATTCTCGAAGTCCAGCTAACTAATACTCCCTCCGTCCCATAAAAGATTTCTCCTTTCTTTTTTCATCCGTCCCATAAAACATTTCTCATTTCTATTAAAAAGTCACTTTTACCCCTTACTTTTTCATACTCTACCTATCACATCATACCTTTTTACTAATAATCTACCCATCAAAACCTACTTTTACCCATCACATCAAAGGACATTTTTGGAAATTCAATACCAAAATACACTCCCTTAAATCTCTTCAAAAAGCAAAATATCCCATGTTTCATGGGACGAATGGAGTATTATAACTCACGGTATTGAATGAAATAATTTTCTTAAAAATTTAATGTTGTGATGAATTACAAATGTTCATAATTAGTAGTTATGGATGAGACATGTTGGATTAATTAATGTGAGGCGACATATTTAGTGGTGTGATACATTCTTGCAGGTAAGTCCTCATGCAAGAGTTGATTTTCAAGAGCTGCAACGGAATCTGATTTATGCTCTAAATAGCTAGAAAGCCAGCAGCATAATAATAATAATAATAATAATAATAATAATAATAAGAAGAAGAAGAAGAATAATAATAATAATAATAATAATAATAATAATAATAATAATAATAATAATAATAATAATAATAATAATAATAATAATAATAATAATAATAATAATAATAATAATAATAATAATTCACACTAGGGGCCGATGACCGGGATGAAGAGGTTGTTAATGGAGTTCTTCTTTATTTTACTTTATTTATTTATTTTGTACGGTTGTTAATGGAGTTCTTCTTCTAATAATAATATACTCCCTCTGTCCCAATTTATTTGCAACACTTCGGACAACGTGCAAAATATCATCTCTTTTAAAATCACTTTAATTTCAAATTGGTAGATTAATAAAAAGTAAAAATTACACCATTCAAAAGTATATGAAAAGTTTTACAAAACAAGATGCGACAAGAATATTTTATTTTATCAAATGGTCAACCAAAACGAGTAAACAAACAAAAGTTATCGAGAGGCCGGAATAGTAAACGTGGCATTCTTTTTGGGACGGAGGGAGTATATACTCCGTATATAGTTCGTTACGTTGTTGTATATATGTACTACGTAATAAATTACTCCCTCCGTTCAATAATTATCTTCTCGTTGCGTGTTACGATGCTTGACTGAAGTTATTTTTAAATTATTTTATATAAGAAATGATGTGGAATTAAAAAAATTACGGAATATATACTTAAAACCTAAAAAAATATAGAAAGCTCAGGTAACATGACTATATTAAATTTTACTTCCTCTGTCCCATGAAACATGAGATGTTTTGCTTTTTGAAGAGATTTAAGGGAGTATATTTTGGTATTAAATGTCAAAAAATGTCTTTTGATGTGATGAACAAAAGTAGGATTTGATGGGTAGATTATTAGTAAAAAGGTATGATGTGATAGGTAGGGTATGAAAAAGTAATGGATAAAAGTGACTTTTTAAATAGAAATGAGAAGTATTTTATGAGACGAATGAAAAAAAAAAAAAGATTTTATGGGACGAAGGGAGTATTTGGTTTTGTGAAGGATGAGATTGATTTTGACCGGGATGAGGGGAGTGCATCAAGTTATGAATGCACCCACGTACTTTAGGGTGCCAAAAAACACTTGTAAAAGTTACTACTACTACTTTAGCTTGGAGTAATTAATTGCACGGACCTAATGAAATTTGTTGCATCAGATTGACTATTTAATGTTTTGCTGTCGGCCGGACTGGCGCCCCCGCGGAGCCGACTTTCCCCTTGCAGCTAGCTAGTTAGTTGTCTTTACGCTCCCAACACTAATTTTTTTTCTTAAGGAGAAAATGAATCGAGTAAAAACAAAGAAATGAAACGACGAGAATTTTTTTTTAAATGAGGGGATGAGAATCGAAAATTGAACAAAAAATTGAAAGTGAATTATTCTTAGGATGAATAGAAAACCTTTTTACAAGGTATAATTACTCCCTCCGTCCTATAATGATCTTCCTGGTTCGCAAAACGAATAAAAATCTCAAGTTTTTTTAATCTATTTTATTTAAATATTGGTATTGAAATAAAAAATAAAACATACATATTTAAAAACTACATCAAAATTTCAACAAAACAAGTGGTGACGTGAATATTTTATTTTATCATATAGGCCATGAAAAAACACAAATAAATATAAATTCTCGTGAAGTTGGAATAGTGCTCTGGGAAGATCATTATAGGACGGAGGGAGTATTGTTTAGTAGATGAATAGAAAATGAAAAGAAATAAAAATTGTCATTTCATTTTGAAAGGGTGCTCCAAGTTATCATGTGTCATTTCACCGTAAATTACCCTCTCCTGTTTTCAAAAGTTACAAAAACATTGAATTATTTTTGTTTTTTGATTGATTTTTATTTGATAAAATAAAATAATTTTGTTATCTCTTATTTTGTACTCTCTCCGTTCCACAAAACTCTTCCTCTTTCATTTTTTTTGAATTCCCTAAAACACTTCCACTTTCTATTAAAAAACCACTTTTACCCTTACTTTTTCATACCCTACCTATCACATCATACTTTTTCTCTAATAACCAAACTATCACATCTTACTTTTACCCATCACATCAGGGACAAAATTGGAAAGTCAACCAAAATTACACTTTCCTTATTTTTGCCAAAAGTCAAAAGTGGAAGGGTTTAAAGGAACAGAGAGAGTAGAATTTTTGACATAATTTTTAAATATGTAAGATTTATTTTTAATTTCTATACCAATATATTTTTAAATAAAGTAAATTTTAAAAAACTTAAAATTTAGCTTTGTTTTGAGTAAAATGTTAAACATTTTGGGATGGACAAAATATAGTTTTATCACTTCTTATATTATTGAAAAACTTGTTTAAAGTGGAGAGAGTGAAAGACTAAGAGTAAATTTTCTTAATCTAATCGATAACTTAATTAGTTCAACTCATGAACTTAAAACTAATTTATTTTCTCATCAAGTTCTAATATAACTCATCTTCAAGGTTATAATTGAGTCATTTTGAATCTACTTGGTTGACCACTAGCAAATTGACTTTCACCTCACTGAAACGAATATTTGAGTGTCAACACTAAGTTGCTGGATCTAGACGTACTTCCAAATGAACAATCGGTTAAATGGATCATAAGTTGTTGGGTATGTATTTCACATGGATAACTCAGCTAAAGACTATGGCCACTAGGAATGAGCGTCTAGTCGGATAGATTGACAAATGATTGAGGTGAACCAAAACCTGTTTTGATATCATGATAAAATTTAGAATTACGTAGGATTACATACGGGACTTGGTTTTAAGGTATTTGGGTTGAACCACGTAAAAAAATATATCCAATTGATTTCTTAAATCAACTTGAGAACTTATAAACTCATTTAATTTGTTTAATTTTTTAAAAATCAAAACAAGAAATGTTTTGTGGGCCAGTAGGATGTAATAAACAAAAGAGTTCAAACATACATACTTCTTTCATTTCTCAATAAAAGTGTAATAAGACTTTTAAGATACACTAGAAATAAAATGAATGTAAACATAATGTTTGTCCATACTAAATCAAAATTTAATGTATCAAAAAATACTTAACAAACAAAAATTTAGATATAGAAAAAATAACAGTTAATACTCCATTCGTCCTGAAATAGATTACAATATTCTCTCACATTTTTGTCCCAAAAAGAATTACAAAGTCAATAACTTTATAAGAAATTGACTCTTTTACCCTCTCACTCCTACACTATTCACATACTATTCATCCATGTGAGTGGGCCACTTGGGCGTAATTTTGGGAAAAAAATTGATTTGACTCTTTCTTAATTTCAATAAAAACAGAATATTGTAATCTAAAGTGGGACGGAGGGAGTAATAAAAAGTTAAATGTAAAAAAGTAATGCATTTAAAGACTAATTATAAAATAGAGGAAAAATTACCCAAGAATTAATGTGGGAACTTGTGTAGTTTAAACTTTAAATTTTCGGAAGGCAGTGAAGTACGTACTACTCCGCAAAAGAGCAAGGGACAGCTGCAGGGAGATTAACGGCGAAAAGAAGAACGGCCGGCGCCGGCCTATGAATGCGACGGAGGAGAATAATGCTTTTCATACTTTTTATAGGTTAAAGTAGGGATGGATATATATGGGCAGACGACGATATGATCGTCGACTGTCACCTCCGTTACGTTCTAAGATTAACCACTGTGTGTTCAGATTCTCATTTACTTGTCATTCCGTGTCTGCCTATCCCCCGGCGAGGCGATTTTTCATGCATGCTCCACCCACCATAAATATTTTCATTTCAGTGGTAAGGAGTGTGAATAAGATAAGATTCGAGTTTTATTCTTAATAACTGAACTATACTAAGTATAAAGTTATTCTCAAGTACAAGTTGCATGCTCCACTCTTTACAACAAATATGTGATTAAAGTCTATCTACTTCATCTTAATAACCGTTTGCATGTCCGGGTTTAAGAATACAAATTTTTAGATTTTTTTCTTTTGTTTAGTTTCAAGATAAAATTGTTGATTTAGTAATCCAACTCAACTGAATAATTGTATACATGGGTGTTTATATAGGTGAGAATCCCTACATGAATTAGGATTCACCAAATATGGAAACTAACATAAATAACAATTCTACCATAACTACACTTCTTGCCATATATGCCTAACATCCCCCCTCAAGCTGAACGTCGTGAAACGAGAGGAAGCTTGGCAACCAGTGTGGAGTAGCGTGGTGAAGAGAGAGCCTTTGTGAGAAGATCCGCTAATTGCTCACTGGAAGGAACATAGGAGACTGTCATTTTTTCGGCAATTACCTGTTCGCGTACAAAGTGACAGTCGGTGCCGACATGCTTCATGCGTTTATGGAACACTGGATTCTTGGTTAGGCAGATGGTGGATTTTGTCGCAGAGTAGGTGTGGAGGAGGTAGCTTAATCTGCAAAATATCAAACAAATAGGTGATCCACATCACCTCTGCTGCTGCGGCCGAGAGGGCCCTGTACTCGGCCTCGGTGGATGAGCGAGAGACACGACTCTGTTTTTCCGTACTCCAAGAGATTAAATTATGCCCAAGATATATCAAATAACC